CTCTGAACTTCCGTCTCCACGTCTGTGAAACAGTAACTATGCTGTCCTCATAGCATTGTTATGGGGTCATGGGACGTCTGTGAAACAGTAACTATGCTGTCCACATAGCATTGTTATGGGGTCACGGGAACTACAACAGGTGGTGCTCATTTAATTGAAGGAGCCATTTAGCATAAGCACCTTTGCGGATGTTATCTTATAAACAAATAGGAATTACTTCCTGCATGGCTTCCTTTCCTTCAGAAACATACACATTTCTTTCTCTTGTCTAATTGCATGGAGTACGCTGCTAAAACCCTGGTTCTCAAACCCGCTGGCCGATCAGATCCTGCCTTTCCTCTTGGGTAAAGGAGAGAATTAGGGGCGCCTGGGGGGGGCTCAGTCAGTTAAGTGTCTGACTTGGGCTCAGGTCATGATCTCACAGTCCATGAGTTTGAGCCCCTTGTCAGGCTCTGTGCAGACAGCTCAGAGCCTGGAGCTGCCTCAGATTCTATGTCTCCCTCTCTCTCTCTGCCCCTCCCCTGCTCATGCTCTGTCTCCGTCTCTCAAAAATGAATAAATGCTAAACAATTTTTTAAAAAATGAAGAAATATTTTAAAAATTATGAAAAAAAAAACAGAAGAGAATAGTACCACTTGGCAGTGATCAGGCACCAAGGTCCAGAGTCTTCAAGGGAGTGGGCACTCACCTAAATGCCAAATGGTATTATCTGTCACCCCTTTAAGGGAGAGTGAAAATTACAGCAAACTGTGTCCTTGTAAAAAGACTTGACAAGGATTCTAATTAGCCCTTCCTTGGAGGCCTTGGGATCTTCAGAGCAACTGATTTTTGAACTTAAAGACAGCGTTTCTCAGCCGGGGATGATTCTGACTGCCAGGGGACCCGCAACCACGTGTGAAGACACTTTAGTTGGTCACGAACATCATGAGGCTATTGCCCCAGTGGCCACCAGCAGGTAGAGGCTAGGGATGCGTGCTGCACATCCTACCTGCACATGAACGCTTCTCTCAGAGAAGACAGACCCAAGCGAAAATGTCAGTAGTGCTGGGGCTGAGAAATACTGCTTTAAAACAGTACAAAACAGAGGCGCCAGGTGGCTCAGTTGGTTAAGCCTCTGACTTCCCCTCAGGTCATGATCTCACATTCTTGGGTTCCACCCCAGCTTCGGGCTCTGTGCTGACAGCTCAGATCCTGGAACCTGCTTTGGATTCTGTATTTCCCTGTCTCTCTGCCCCTCCCGCTCTCATGTTCTGTCTCTCTCTGTCTCAAGAATAAATAAAACATTTTTTTAAAAAATTTAAACTCAGTATGAAACAGTAGCAGTGGTGGTGGGAATCCCTATCTCGTTACAGATGTTAACGAGGTCTTTTTTGAAGGAGAGAAATCAGCATTTTGCGAGAGGGTGTCCAGTCCTTGCCATCCCGCCCTCCCCCATCTCTCACCCCCCATCCCCGCCCCCAGCATTGGCTCACCCGTAGGAATGCCCGATGAGCACGTTTCGCTTCTTGGCATAACGCTTAAAGATGGCGCGCATGTCCTCTGCCAGCGCGTAGAAGGTGTAGGCTGCGGCCACCTGGGGCGCGGAGCTGGCCCCGTGACCCGCCAGGTCGGGTGCCACCACCTCGTAGCCCAGGCGCACAAAGAAGTCCAGCTGCTCCTTCCAGATGGCCAGGGAGCCGCCCACGCCGTGGATGAAGAAGAGCACCACGTCGGCCTGGGCACCCTTGCAGCTCGTGATGCGCTTCTCGCAGTCAATGTGGATGGTGCGCTTGGGGCGCCGGGTTCGCCGCCGCCGGCCACCGCTGCCGCTTCCGGCACTGCCCGAGCCCGAGCGGCCATCGCTGCCCGCCGGGTCCGCCAGCTCCACCTCTAGGGCGGCCGGCGGCTCCCCGGAGCCATTCTGCCCGTGCAGGAGGTCAGCACGAGGTGCCCGGCCCAGGTTCTCCACCAGCAACCGCCCGTTGCGGTACACGGTAATTCGGCGCTGGCAGCGGACCAAGCCCGACCGGTCCCCCTGGGCGGCATCTGCCAGTGGTGGAGGTGGGTTGGGGGCTGGAGCGGGCCCCGCGTGCTTCACCCGCAGCACCCGGCCGGGCTTGACCTCCACAAAGGTGTAGCCATCACTGGACTCGACGCTCTCCAGCGGCCCCACAGCGTTGGGTGGTGCGCCCAGCAGGCAGCAGAAGATCCCGTCGGTCACCCCGGTCAGCATGGTGTGTCCTGCAAGTGGGGGCACCCCCCATCTCAGGGGCCATCTGGGTGAGGAGCCCTCCACCCCCACAGCACCCAGTCCCCCCACCTGGGGCAGGTGAGCTGCCGTAAAGCACCAAGATGTTTTGTCTGGTCAGTGCCTGTGAGGCGGCTGGCCGCCCTCCTGGGCTAGCCTAGCCTGTCCTAGAGAGAAGGATCTGGCTGTGGCTGGCCCCAAGAGGTGTCCCTAGGGAAGGTGGTATAGTCAAGGGGTGCTTCTTGGAGGAGGGGACATTATAACAAATGAGGACCCTCTGGCCCCCAGCTCAGGGTTATAGCAGTTATGGCTTCCTAAGCCCATTCATTCATTCATTCATTCTATCGTTCATCCATCCATCCATCCATCCATCCATCCATCCATCCATCCATGCACACACTCTCACTAACTTACTTTAGCACATTCTGACTGCTTCTGAAGACATCTACAAAGGTGCAGATTCCAAGGAGCCCCCATCCCAGGCCTCTGAACCTGGCTCCTGAAAGGTGAGGCCCTCAGGGAGTTAGGGACTGAACCCCAGAAGGCTTTGTCCAGCTCCCCAAGACCCAGACTGGGTCTGTTTCACAGACGGACAAACTGAAGTCCAGACACCTTGTACATCCCACCCCCCACCCCCGTCAGTACCCTGGTTTCTGGGGGTCTGACACACCATCCCCAAATGTGGAGATGAGGATAGAGAAGGTATAGCCCTCCCTGGGGGCCTCCAGGCCTCCATCCTGCTCCCTGGGCTATCCCCCCCCCGTGTCCATGGCAACCACAGGCAGTTACATAACTCAAGGGGGATACCCGTGTAGCGCACCCCCATTGTCTAGGGCCTGGAGATCGGACCAGCCCCTCCCCCGTCCCCATCCTGTGAGCCCCGGGGATAAGGCACGCCGAAGGCACGGCCTGCGATGCCCCGGACTTGCTGATAGAGGTGGAGCAGATCTCGCCTCTCACTCCACTGAGATCCCAATCCTGGACTGCGGAGGGGGACGCAAATGCGCCACGCCAGGTCCCCTCCCAGAGGCAGATCCCTGCCTCTCGGGGGCTAGTCACCCCTGCGGCGGGGTCGAGGCCACTGGAGCTCCGCGGGTTCCTAAGAGCCCGAGGCTTTGTGCACACCCCCTTCCGAAGTGGAAGCCCCTGGGACCCGTGTCCCCCTCCCAGAGCCCACTCCCCGCTCACCTCATCGAGGGCCCTGTAGCCCGGGGCAGGGCGGAGGGGTCCCCGGCGGAGAATCCAGCGTCCGCCCGCGGCGCCGTTTTACATGGTGGCACGGGGTCGACCCAGGCGCGTCTACGCGGGCAGCCTCGGGCCCACGGCGGTCAGCGCGGGGGCATCCCGCGGCCGCCCAGAGAGCCGGCCCTTTAATTCTCTCTCCGGGGGGGAGGGGCCGCGTGCCGACGGACGGGCACCTCGACCAATCATCGCTATAAACTGACCTGGCCTAGTTAGACTACCAATCATAGGCCGCATCTCCGGGACGGAGGCGGGCTTGTGAAGTGACGGCCCCGCCTCCTTCGGGGGCATAGCAAGGTGGAGGGAGGGATTGGGCCTGGCCCAAGGCCGAGAAGGGGTCCCAAACTGAGGTCTGCGGAGCTCTCGGGAGGTAGCAGCTGGAGCCCCTTACTGCGAATAGAATCCCCTCGGCTAGCCCCTGCCTCCGAACTGCCCTTTACCCTCCAAAGGGGGCCCCATGGTCCTCTCTCTGTGCTGACCTTTCTGTTCTAGACATTCCCAGATCTTTCCAATTTCAGGTGGGGAAACTGAGGCTCATGAAGGGCACAAAGTCGCAAGGCAAGCTGCGGGGCTGTGGGGCAGAGGTGCACTTAAATCCACGGCTTTGTGATATCAAGTCCCGGAAATTATTGTTCGTTAAGCCTTTAAAGGGATGAACTGGAGTTTCACAGCCAAGCCAATTTAATCGTTGGCCAATTTAACTGGTGACTCTGTGGGTCCCAGCGGGAGTCAGAGATTCCCAAGGTTCAAATTCAGTCTCTGCCCTTTGTTGATACGTGACCTTGGACAAGCCACTTCTCTGAGACTCCCTATTTCTCTATGAAATTAATCCCCTGAGTTTGCTCTGCAGCTAAAAACACTCAGCATAAGTGCTCAATACATTATTGACATTATTATTGTACTGGTTTAGTAGCATAATACTATAGTGGTTTGCTAAGTGATGGTGCAGGTAGGATGGGCTTCAGAGGACAAGGGGTTAACCATTCCTTGTCCACTTCCAGCTCCTGGAATTTGCTGCCAGAGCTGGATTAGGTCCCACCACCCACTCTTGCCCACTCAGGGTGCTCCTGGGAGACTATAGTTAATTCATACAGTAAACAGTCCCCTTCCCCCCTCTCTGGGCCCTCCAAGTTGGGAGATTCTGGGGAGCCTGCAGGGACTCAGCTCCAAGCCTGGCCTCTTGAGGGGCCCCTGGGCTTTGGGGAGAGTCTGGGGAGAGCTCTATTGGGGCACGGGTTGGGTCAAAGGGAGGGAGGGGATTGGGGGAGAGGAAAAGATATGAGGAGTTTAAAAGATGAATGGGGGGCGGGGGAAATGAATAGGGGAGCATCAGGCATTGGAGAGTATGGCTGAAATTGTGTGTGTGTGTGTGTGTGTGTAGAGGGAGGCCTTCATGTGCTTGCCAGAGGAGCTGGATATTTTTCTTGGGGGCGATGCGGAGCCATAGAGCTGTGTGAGAAGAGAAAGCGTTCAGATCTGAGTATTAGAAAATTTTTTCTAGGGCCCGAATGGAGGCACCACCAAGGGCAAGTTGAAACACATGAGTTTTAGACTGAGAAACTGAACCCCCGAAAGGAGCAGGGACCACCCCAAGGACATCCAGCCAACACCAACTCAGGTCTCCTGGGCACCCCGCCAAGGAGCAGAGACTTGGCCGGGCCCTCAGAAATGCTGCCAGCCAGCTGTGTGCCATCTGCCTGCCTCCTGCTGGGGAAGGAGGATCAACCAGCCGTTTCCTGAGGCTGCCCCCAGCTGCGCCACGGTCACCTCCCGGCACCCTCTGCTGGTCGACGGGAGAAGGAACGACGGCTCACAGCAACGTCTCCACGCAGGCGCATGCCGAAGAGGCGCCGTTCGTCTGCCACCTGTTGGTCGACATGGAGAACTACACTCCCTTGCCGGTTAGGACGCTCACACTGAAGGGACGCAGGCGCAGAACGGCAACGCCCGGAGGACCCGGTAGCCATGCGGGCTCGGTTGTAGGAGAAACTACATTTCCCATAAGGTATAGTTCTGCAGAGGCAGAGCCTATTAGCTTTGGAATAGCCGGCGTGGGGACGGCGCGACGGGCGGCTGGACATGGCTTTTCTGGTCGGATCTGTAGGTCGCCAGTTGGGCCGCGTCAGGTGAGTCTTTACGGGGACCCTTCCCCAAATTTGGAAACGAGGGCGGTGGCAGGCGCTGGTGTCGGTTGTATACCGACATCATGACTTGACAACGCCTTGCGCCTTTATGGAGCGCCTCTCGCAGCCATGCTCGGTCCCGGCACGGATAGGGAAGCCGAGGCTCCAGAGTGGTTGAGCGTCACGCCGAAGTCACAGAGCTCCTCCTCTGACCTTTCGCGCCGTCTCTCTGTCCCCGCAGGTGGCTCCAGTCCCGGGCCTGGCTGGGGCTCCCCGACGCCTGGGGACTCGTCGCCACACAGCAGAACCGGGGAAAGGCTCGCGGAAACGAGTATCAGCCGAGCAACATCAAACGCAAGCACAAACACGGCTGGATCCGGCGCTTGAGCACGCCGGCCGGCGTCCAGGTCATCCTTCGCCGCATGCACAAAGGCCGCAAGTCCCTGAGCCATTGAGGAGGGCGACGCTGAAGGCAGGACCCCCATTAAAGCCTTTCTCTCTCCTGCCGTTGCTTTTGTGGGGAGCCTGGACGCCTCAGACATGCGTGCACCTCAAATCGTGGGGCTGGCCCGGGGAGAGAAGCCTGGGGCTGGACTGAAAGTGGGAGGAGGAAGACAGACCTAGTCCCTTTCTACGATTTTGAATTAGGAAGAATTTCGAACATACGGCAACAGCCCACTGAATAGAACAGTGAACCCTGTGTACTCTGTACACAGCTCCGACCACCCATTACCCCCAACCCACCTGCCCCCTCCTGTGTTATTTTGGAGCAAATCTCAGGCATCGGGTTATTTCTTCTGTGAGTAATTCAGAATGCATCTGTTCTAGAAAAGACATTTTAAAACACTTCAGGCCTGATGACAGGCGTTTTTAAAACATAACAAAAAAAACCTTTTCACACCTAAAAAAAAAAAAAGGTTAACAGTTCCTTAATATCATTAAGTGTTTAATAAATGTTCAAATTTCTATTTGTCTTATATCTTGTAATTTTCCACAGTTCTGGGAGGCTTGGGGGGGGGGAGGTGCTTGAATTCTCCTCCTTGGGGATGCATTGTATGACCTTGAGCAAAGGCCTTGGCCCTCTGAGGCTCCTTTGGCTCCTATGAAACGAGGTGCTTGTTTCTCCTTCGCTATGTTGTTGGAATAATAATACTTAATAGCTGCAGTTAATACTATTGAGTACTTCCTATGTACCGGGTGCCGGGTCCTTGTCCTTGACAGGCTAGGAGTCTGGAGGAGCACTTGATTTGTACCCAGGCACCTTGGAGACAGCGGAGTCAGGGCTGAGAGGACTGCGAGGGCTGTGGAAGCGCCAGGCTTGGACTTGGAAAGAATGAAATCAGAGAAGGATTCCTGGAAGAAGTGCCAGTATCTGGGAAGGCCCAAAGGGAGAAAGGATTAGACCCAGGCGTCAAGATAAAACGTGGCTGAGAGATGCCGAAGGGTTCCAAAATTCGGGGCCCGGGAGATGGGACTGGATCCTTGGGGGACTAGGGAGCCACAGGGGCATTCCAACAAGAGAATCTGAGCTGTCAGCTGAAAGATATTAAACAGCAAGTGCAGAACAGTTTCGATCTGGTAACAGGTTAGAACCCTGGGGAGGAGGCTGGGAGCGTTACGGTTGATGCTCACTTCCGGGGCTGCTGTGGAAACTCCACGAGCCACCACTTGAAAAAGTGAAGTAAACGCTAGGAAGTCGAGAGACAGGCGGAACCTCCCGGAGTTGTGGACTACAAATCCCAGGGGACTTGGGGGGCACGGCCTCCGCCCACTTCCGGATTTTGCTGCCTTCGCTTCCAATTCCCGGGCGGGGTTTTGCTTCTTCAACCGAACTTGACCACGAAAGGAGGAGATGTGGTGGCCAATGGACGCGTGACTTAGCGGGGTCTGGCCAATGGGAGTGCGCAGAGGCCGCTATGATTGAGGCGGGGCTAGAGTGCGGGCCAATGAGGGGGGCGGCGGTGCCATCAGTGTGGGCTGTGCCGTGGCTGGAAGTTACTGTGCGGCGGCGGCTAAGAAGGCGGCTGTGGTGGCGGCGGCGGTGGCTGAGGCGGTGGCTGAGGCAGCGACGGAGGAAACAGAAGATGGTGAGAGAGGCTGCCGGGCCCTACTCCCCCTCCGTTTGACAAAATGGCGCCGCGGACCCACCCACCTCTAGTAATCCCTGAAGCCCCTTACCTCCCAGCCCGGCCCCCTCAGGCCCCGCCCTGCCTCTCACTCTGCCCTATAACCTTCAACCTCGGGACCCTGCTGTGAGCTTCCTGCCGACCCCGCCCCAGCTCCTTCTCTCCGACCCCTGACCCCTCGTAGGCTTCCAGGCCCTGACAACCCATTCATTTCCGGGTCGCTGCTCCCCCGGAAATCGGTGGGGGTGGGGATGGGGTCCCCCGAGACCCCCCCCCCCATTTCAGGTCTCGTCCTCGGCTTCCCCGGCCCGCGTCTCTCCAGTTCAGGAGGGTTTGGGAGGATGGCCTGGGTGTTGGGGCGGGGGAGGGGGCTTGTCATCGTGACATGTGGGGCTTTGTAGCCAAAGGAAGTGCGACATCACAGACTGCCCAGGTCCCCCAGAGCCCTGATCCCACCCCCAGCATTCCGGGCCCCGACGTGCCCCTAGGAGGGAACAACTTCGTCTCTCCGCTCCCAGGCCTTTCCCTGTGAAATGGAGGTAGCAACAGTCCAGACTTGATAGAGTTGTGACAATTCAGAGAACCGATTTCGTGAAGGGCTTAGGACGGTGAACGCTCAACAGATGAGCCGGGTGACTTGGGGCTGGTGACATCTTCTCCCCGCTGGCTTCTCATCCTGAAGTGGGAACAATGCCAACCGCTCATCCTGGGATTTGGGTTATAGTGGTTCTTTGGGGTTCTGCCCCCCAGCCTGCAAAGTGGGATGGTGACTTGGCATCAGACTTGTGCTCAAGCCCCCACCCCCACCCCGGAGCAGACAGAGGTGATGCCAGCGTTTGCAGGGCAAGTCAAAACCCCATTGTCCCGGACCTGCGGGATGTGGTGAGGGATCGGCCAGAGGAGGAGGAGATGGGAAAGTGGGTTCCTAGCATGTGGGTCCCCAAGCCCGGGGGTCGCCCTTGAGGTCTTTGCCACAGTCTCCGCCCCCATGTCCAGCCCGTAAGAAGTTCTGATGGCTTTGCCTCTGGGGTGCATTGTGAATCCGCCCATAGTCCCCTGCCCTGGTCCCAGCCCTGCCACCCCTTGTCTAGACGCCTGCCGCTGCCTCTTCCCTGGTCACCTTACCTCCAACCTGCCCCCTCCCCGCCCCCACCCCCAGCAGTCTGTAGTTCACCCAGAACCAGCTTGAGCTGGTAACTTAAAGTGTAAATCTCATTACACCGCTTTCTAGCATATAAGATACTCTAGTGGGTTCTTTTTTTTTTAATGTTTATTTATTTTTGATAGAGGGAAAGTGTGTGCATTAGTGGGGCGGGGGAGACAGAGGATCTGAAGCAGGCTCTGTGCTGACGGCAGAGAGCCTGATGCGGGGCTTGAACTCATGAACCAGAGAGATCTTGACCTGAGCCGAAGTCAGTGCTTCGCGACCGAGCCACCCAGGGGCCCCCATGCTAGGGGTTTCTTATAACCCAGATGAGACCCCAGCTGCCCCTCGCCCCTGCCTGCCTCTGTGTTCTTTACTCTCTTCACCTCTTCTGCAAGCTCCAGCCACACTGGCCTTGTGTTCGTGCCCTCTCACTCTAAGTCCCTTCCACCCCAGGGCCTCTGCATCTGTTGCTCCCTCGGCCTGGAATGTTCTCTCTCCCGTGAACACCACCCCTCAGAGGAGCCCTTCCTGGCTTCAGGAGGGCCCTGTCTCTCCCCCTGTGGCACGTTAGTTCTTCTCCTCTCTCTCTGGACGGGCCCACGACTGGGCTGCCTGAGCAGGGATGGTGCACACACGTTCCGTGAGGGTTTGCTGACGCAGTGTACAGCTTCTGGGCCCGGCTCTGGCGAGGATGTGTCTGGCTGGCTTGAGGATTTCTCCCCTGTGCCTGAGGCCTTGTTTTCCTGCTTGGCTGACAGGAAGTACTGGTCCTACCTTCTTCATTCATTTATTCAGCACAAACACACTGCTGCTAACAGCTGGCCTTCAAGGGAGCGCTGGGAGAAGCTCTTTCCTGGGGTGGGGGGGGTCACTTGCCCCAGGTCCCCCAGGATTGAGAGCCCTGCCCTGCCCTCTGCCCTCAGGGAGGGAGGGGGATGGACACATAAATAGATGACCTCGTGGGGGGTGTGGTTTGGGCTCTAGTAGAGGCTCCCAAGGTGTGGAGAGAGGCAAGGGGCCCCGGGGGATTTTGAGATGCTTGGAGAGGTTGATGCATGTTGCCCGCATGGAGGAGGGAGCGGCATTCTGGGAAGGTGGCCCTGGACCAGCACCACCCGGGGGCTTCAGGCCAGGGATTTGGAGGCGTTTGAGCAGGGCCCAGAGCCCCTCCTCATGCTTCAGGTCTTAGCGCCTGCATCATTGCCTCCGGGCAGCCCTTCCTGAGCCCCCAAATCAGTCACATCTTTCCCTCGTGCTGTCTTGGATCTCACACATCCCCTCCCAATATCCGGTCCTCATGGTCTTTGAGTCCCACTTGTGTCCCCAGGCACTCCGTACTTCCCAGGGCGATGGCAAGTCTGCTGTGGCTTCCCCAGTGTCCTGTTGCCTGGTGCAGGGCCTGCCATGCATTAGGAGCCTGAGGAAACCCGTGCAGGATGGAGGAAGTTGGCCTCACAGCCCGGGCTGCAGTTGGGGCAGGGGTCCTGGGATGGAAGAGGCGAATGTGAGGGGCTTTGAGCTTGGCCCCAGGGCACTAGGCCACCCAGGTGTGAGGGCCGCCTTCTGGGTGGATGGGCGAGGCCCTCCACACTCCAGCTTCCCTAGCTGGCCCATGCTGCCGAGGTCTCGCCAGGGTGCAGGAAAGGAAGGGCTGGGCCCTACAGAGGTGAGGACACCTGCTCTCACCTGCCCTGGGGGGGGTCACCTGGACAGCCGCATGCCTAACGTTGCTGAGCTCTGGCTCAGGTATGGGGCTGGATCTCCCAAGGGAGGTTTAATGTAACCTGCGGGGGCTCTGAGGCCTTGGTTTTCAGGAAGGGAAACAGGCATTGGTATGTCACGTAGCACAAAGAGCTTGGCCTCTGAGGCTGGGGGGACCTGGGTAAAATCTGGTTCCTTGTTTTCTTGTCGGGGCTGGGTGAACTTAGTTGGGTACCATCCGACCTTTTCACTTCCATTACCTCGTCTTTCTTATGGGGTGACTCTAGCCCCTGGCGGTGCCCCACTCTGGGCTTGATGACAGCATCGCCCTCCTGTTGCTGAGACGTCCCCCCCTACCCCAAGCTCTTGGCTCTCATCCCTCCCCGAGCACCCTCAGGCTCTCGTGCCTCAGTTTCCTCGGGTGGACATGGCTCTTGCTGGCCTTTATTGCCCCCATCACTTCCTGCCCAGAGTCAGGGCCTTTCCCCTCCCCATCACTTCCTGCCCAGAGTCAGGGCCTTTCCCCTCCAG